CAACTCGGGTAATGAATGCCGTATTGAACGAACACGCTTCTAGATCATTACATATTAATGTGGAAGTCTCTCAGGTCTCTATCATTAGATCCATGTTGTTTCTTGTCTTCATCAACGACTTCCTCGATGTCATTAGGTCCCAATTAGACATTTATGCTGATGATACAACTATTTACTCCCATCTAAGTAAGTTTGATAAGTTCCATAAATTAAAAATGGCAGTTTATTGCAATCTTATTTCTTCAAACATTTCAGAGGAGACTCTCTTATAACTTTGTCTCTTTAGTGATCGTCTTACTTCAACTTGTTTTTGAAATAAACTTTGTAGTCATCTTGCTTGGCCTTGCTTCGGGTGAAATGATAAGAAGGGCACGCAGAGAGCCTCACTCAGATTTTAAACATGGTCCCTGATTTCTTTTCCAGATAACCATTTCTCCAAATTCCTTCTCCTAGCCTTAATACATTTCTTCTGATGCACTTATTCCAGGACGCTATTAATAAAGACGTGGAATTTCATATCATTTCACCTGCAAGCTGTTGTTATTATTATTAGTTCCAAAAATGATTTGTCCTTTTCCTGAAGATAACAGGAGTAGGCAAGCTACTGACAATTTTGTTCGAGAAGTGCTGATCAGGTTAGGAATGCAGAAGATGTAATAAATTTGAGAGATATTGGATTGGTGAATACCGAACTTAGAAGATTAAAATCTACAAACATCTGCTGGGAAATACCCACTAGGAAATTGTCAAGTGACTTTTTTCTTTAGAATTCGTTAAATTAGTATTGAGCTATTTTTTAAAATTTTATTTGATCTAGGAACATCACTTGTAATCGGCCAGTCAGCTAAGAGCAGTGTACATGTGAGATACTTTACAGGTCATTACAACTCCTTTAGGACGGGAATAAATAAAGAAAGAAATGTGTTTTTTTTAAAAACGAAAGAATTATCTCCCTTGCGCATTGCTTAGATATTTCGTTTCCACATCTACTTTTAGATAAGTTTATCTTTTATTTGCAGTTTTGACTGAGAAGATTTCATTGCTATTGTTTTTTTTGTTTTCATTTTATGTCTCTTTTGAAGAGTGAAGAATTGATTGAATTTTTTTGGTCGGAAAATATTGGCACAGCACTTAAAAAAAAAAGAATTTTCAAACAAGAAGCAAACAAAACTTTCAGGTCGTTTTACAATGTTTACATACATTTTTTTATTATAATTTTTCCTCGGGAAATAAAGATGCGTTTTCAAAAACAATTCTTTCTAAAATCACTTGTGAGAGTGTTTCCATTTTTATAAGTTGTTTTCTTGTTGTCATTGTTTTTTGTTTTCCTTTTTCTTCTAACAAGTACCGGCTCTACATTTCTTTTGCTCTAATTAGTATTTGTACTCACTAAGTTTTCACATCAGTCTTATCTGGGGTTTTTCACTCGAGGTTAAGTGGTAGCAAGTCTCATTAATACTTCGGACTTATTCTCATTATATATTTTTTTATTAGTTCCAGTATTGTCAAAAGAATTTAATTCATCCCTTTTTCATTACTCGAGTCCTTACAATAATAATAATTATCGGCATAACAGCCAGCTTCATAGTCCTCACTTAATTTTAGTTAGCTGGTCAATTTCATGACAGATAAGAGGACCTTCGGAGCAAGAGGGATGTGGTTCTACAGAAGAATACTGAGAATAGCATGGACAGAATATGTGAACAATCAGGAAGTTTTAGGGTAAATGATCACGAAGAGGACACTTTTGCTTAGGATTAGAAAAAGACAGTTGGGATTTTGGAGACGCATAATAAAGAAGCTTGGCGAATTTAACACTCACAGAACAGTAAATGCTGGACAATCTCCTTCCAGATGAAGAAGAGATTTGAGGCAACAGAAATCTGGTTCTACAGAAGGATGCTGAGAATATCATGGACGGAAGTGAGTGAGTTTTAGAGAAAATGGAAAGAATCTGAAAGAGAAGTTTAAATTTATATAGCACATAATGAAGAAAGAGGACTTAGAAAATTTGACACTGACATGGTAGATTTTAATGGCAACAAAGGAAATTAGTGCATAACCTTGCTTGTATGAATGGCTGACAGAGCAGGGATTAAGAGAGATAGCAAAAAGATATTAAGAGCTACAATGGACAGGAAATTGTGGAGAGCCATGATTGCCAACATCCTGAAGAGACACAGCACAGATGAAGTCAGTTTATTTGATTGCCTGCAAAAGATTTAATAGCATAAGATTAAAAATATAAGTAACATCAACACATTCATGAATATATGCTTACTGTACCATAAAAATATATATGTTGGCATTCTCACTCTCCCTCTTACTCTCTTCCTTGCTGGGTTACTTCCCTGTGTGTGTGTATGCATTGAGTCTTTGCAATAATAATTATTAACGGCACAACAGCAAGCTTCATAGACCACGCTTAATTTTAGTTAGCTGGTCAATTTCTTCACAGACAAAACACTCGAAGCAACAGAAAAGTGGTTCTACAGAAGAATGCTGAGAATACCATGGACAGAACATGTTCGGCACGTTGTTTGTTCAACACTTTGTTCGACATTTTGTCCAGTCCGTTTGTTATTTTGTTCTTCTACACTTTGTCCTTCGAAACTTTATCCTTTGCCAGTTACGTCCTGGGTATGACGATAAACTAGATCTGCGTCCTGGGTAAGACGATAAACTACATCCGCGTCCTGGGTAAGGCGATAAACGAGGTCCGACAGCAAGACCTCTGATCAGGAGGTTTTGAGGAGCGTGGAATCACCTCTTAATTGCTGGTGTTCCCATGTTCACCCTGACCTGGGGTGGTAGCACGTGTTAGGGTCCCAGCTATGGGCAAATAGTTAACACCTAAACTGGGATCAAAACACGAAGTGTGAAAATAGGATTTAATACCAGAAATACTATTTTATAAAAAATTATTACCAGCAATACATTTTTGAAAAAAAATATTACCAGCTAAACATTTTTTGAAAAAATATTATCAGCAATAGATTTTTGAAGAAAAAAAATATTACCAGCAATAAATTTTTGAAAAATAATATTACCAGCAATAAAAAATTTTGTCGGCATTCAGTTGTGTCCTACGCGTTATGCCCGTGTAGGCGTTAATGTATCTTTCGATACATGACTGAAGAGGCAGATTTTTCCCGCAGTAGGTTGCCAGTTCTTTCTACTGTAGACAGTTGCCATTCAAGGCTATAGAACCCGGTCTGTCCTACTATTTAACCATAGAAGCCATTTTAGCCGAGGGGAGAAGAAGAGGATTCATACCTTTCCTAAAGGTATTAGCATGTAATTGAATGTAATGGATTCGACTGGAATTCGAACTCGGCTCATCGATGCCTCAATCCGAGCCGCTATCCATTACTCCACCGTGTCTCCTCTTTGTCGACATTAACTAACCCATTGAGGTTGATATATCGTAAAACAAACCAAACCAAAACCTTCGACACTTTGTCGGTACACGAGTGTACATGGTCGTGGCATCAGCATGGATTGAAAGCTGATGTCATCAAGGAGGTCGTTAATGAAAATTAAAAACAAAGTAGGTCCAAGGATAGAGCCCTTGGGGATACCTTCACATTCTTATTCTTATGCTACTCATATGTCAGTTTGTATTATTACTAGTCTGCGCCATTTAATAACTGTTATACTTTTAAAAGTTTTATTTAATCTGACACAAGGCTACATGAGAAAGGTAACCACTGAAAATCGAACTTAAACAATACTAAATGTTTGTGAAACAAGCAGGCTAAACATTACCTCACAGAGAGGCGATCCATTTATTTGATATATTAGCAAATCTATTCATCGCTGGAGATTGATAAAAATTTCTCCTGAAAAACTCCCGCCTTTTTCTCAGTAATTTGACGCAATCTTTCTTCATTCATCCTATAGGCACTCTAGGTATTTAGGTACGCTTCCAAGTGCGTCAGTTATCATAGGCACCACCATAGATTCATATTTTACGGGGTTTACGGCTATATGACGCTGAAACACAGGCTCTCGTACAACCACCGAAGTTAGCAACGTCGTGTATCGCCAGTAATTAGATGGGTGATCACTTGGAAATACCAAATGCTGTCAGCTTGGACATGCGGGTGGTATATTGCCTAACGAGGATCTATTGCATAAAGGTGAGCTATCTACGCATCTATATTAGTTTGTTTCCTATCTACACTATGTCGGATTTTATTATATACTAGCAGTAGAGCCCCGCGTTGCCCGGGGATGTAACAGTAAGAGATAGATCAAGTATCAACCATCATAAAGACTGAAAAATAAAATTGACAAAGGTCAATTTAAGGTTGACGGACACGCATGTCTTAATTAGTTTTTCTTTTTTTTTACGAATTGGTCAAACCCAAACTCAAACAAAAACATTGTTTTCAATCATTATGAGTCTACCGATTGAATAGAATTTTTTTTTATAAACAATTGTCTTGTAAATGGAATATTTAAAGCATTCTGAATTTAAAAATAAAGAAAAAAGTGTGCAAGACAATAAGAAACACTACCTGCTAAAAAAAAAGTGAAGTTTTGTTGAAATTGGTTGAAAAATATAGTAAATCTAATCCCATATATACATGAACACACAGACACAAAAACAACCTGGCTTTTATAAGTATAAATCGACATGAGTTGTCCCCCTTTCATTCTCGCGATTAATCGTGTTTTCAAATTTATTTTGTGCAAAAACAATTGTGTTTTTCCAATTTTTGGCACTGTTAGAACCACCGCAAGGTAATTTTGCGTAGTCCTGTGAAGTTTTGTTGAAATCGGTTGAAAAATGTAGGAAATCCGATCCAATATATAAACGTACAGACACACACACACACACACACACACAATCTGCGTTTTATAATAAGTAAGATGTAAGTTTTTTCTTCAATAAAATTACTATTAAAAAGTTATTGTGTTACAGTTTTTAGGATTTACTTATATCTGTACGTGCAATTTAGTGTATGAGTTTCAGTTTAAAATAGCTATCTGTTTACGGACATATCAAGCTAAAACACTGGTTCCCATACGACCATCGAAGTTAAATAACGTCGAGCCTGGTCAGTACCTAGATGAGTGACAGCATGGGCAGCATAGGTGTTGAAAGCTTGGATGTGTGTGGTGTAACGCAGGGGTCGGTCTTCGGTAGTACGCGTGCCATACGTGGTGCGCCAAGCAATATCCAATGGCACGCAGCCGCAAAATGACATCACGAAGTCCGAACCAATAGCTACTAAATAAGATATTTAGCTGTTTCTATTTTAATATACACTAAAGTATATATACTATATATTACTACATGTTGGCACACTGAATGATTTTAAAACAGTAAATCGGCATGTAAAACTGGCCACTCGTATTCGCGAATACCCGTCTAGTAGGGAGGCTAGCCAATCCATGGACGCTTGCTCAGGCGCATTTGTGTTTATCCAACACCCACAGAGCCGACCTGTGGCTTATAGTTTACAGTTACAGTTTCTGGGAAAGAGCGTGTTATCTAGCGTGATCAACAATTTGATTAAGGCCAGCACGCTCAAGCCCTCGGCCACGATGTCTTGTGACTTCGTGCTAGCACAGCTATCAACGGCATCCAAGGGGTCCGTCTACCCAATTTCACTCACAAGGCTTGGGTCAACCCGTGGTATGCTTGCCAGGCACTTTCCAAAGGTGCCGCACGCTGGGATCGACCCCCTCCTGTTCAATAACATCAGAAAGTCTCCTTCCTGACAAATCGACCATGGTGAGATTCGAACCCGGGTCTCATGACCAGAATGCGAACATTACTCGGCCACGTGCCCATATTAAGTCGACATATAGTTAGCAAAAGGTTGCCGACCCTTAGTGTAACGGATAAGGGCACGGAATTGGAAATCGGATAGTTGAGTTCCAATTCTAGTCGTTATAATGACTTACGCACAAATGCCATTGGGTAAGGTAGGAATCCACTACTTCAATCCCAGTTATGGGCTAAATAGAACGACTTGTACTCGTAAATAATTATTATCTCCAAACAATTCTTATAATTTAAAAAATATTTTCTGGCTTTAAATAACCTGCCTAGAATTTACAAATCGCAAAAAAAAAAACAAACAAAAAAAACAATCAATCATGTTTCATGGCTTCTTTAGTTTCCCGGCGAGATCCTGATGTTTTTCTAAATTTACTTTCAAACTGTGATTCACTAGCACAACCATGGTCACCTCAAAATGGTTATTGTTCAAATATTCATTCTATAAATCATGTTAATCTTTTCTGATTTTTCCTCTATTCCATTCTGCTCGATTGAACTGACTTTTACTATTTCGTGATACTAATTCTCTTACCAGTTTAACTTCCGGATAATTTCCTGCTTGCCTCTTTTATTGCTTTTGTTCCTCAGTTGTGTATCTCCAGTATTACACGTTGCGTAATTCTAAACTCCACTCCAATATCCTGGCTGAAAATACTGTCTTTAATTTCTTTTTCTTTTTATTATTTTAACCGCATATTGAATCGATTTTTACACGGCAACTAAATCTTAATAATTGTTACTTTACAAGAAAAAAAAAACTTACTAACAGCCAAAGCAGTTATTCAAATATGCAATGTTTTATAGTTCTCTTGTAAAAAGTATTTGCTGAAGATGGTCGGTAGGTTTAGTTCTGATACTGTCTTGCGCTCAATGTTACGAGATATTTTCGTCTTTGTGCTCGGCATTTCAAGCTTCCAGTCCCGAAACATCATAATCTTTTCTACTTCCCTTTTGAAGTCATTTCTATCGTCTGCAATAGGAATATCAAAACGCGGGTATCTGTTGGCTATCTCATAATAGACCACGATGTCTAGTTGGTTATTATATTTCTTTTCAAATTACCGGATTATATCATAAAATAAAAACACAACAAACACATCTGACCACGTATTATGAACATATCTTGTTGAATTACCATGTATTGATATAAACATAAAATTAGTCTATAAGAGTAACTTAATATGGATATTATGACTTCTGAAATCATTAAAAGTTGCACAGATCAATTTAGGATTTAAACTGTTGCTTACATGTTTGCTCTATAGTATTATCTGCATCTTTCTGTAGAACGAAATTTCTGTTGCTTTAAGTCTTTTCTTCATTTGTGAAGAGATTGTACAGCATTCACTGCCTTAGAGGAGGAGTGATATTACGTAAAGTTATTTTTCTACTTGATGAGTATTTTGATTATTTAATCGATAATATACACGAAAAACACTAAGATGAAATATGTTCTTACACATCGTGTTAAAATAGAATTGATGACTTATTAATTTATACTCATTTTCCTTGAATGCTAGCATTCGTGACCATGACATGGTACAAAAGAGTGAGATGATTTAACCTTACTGTTCTCTGACGTCCTTGTAAAAACCTGAAGAGGAATAAAAGATGAAACTGACATTGAAAAACATTATTGGTTAAAGAAAATGCACATAAAATTAAATAATAAATATTTGTAAAAGAAAAAAAAAACGAGATTTCTCAGAAATTTAAGGAAATATATTTTAAGCCTAGAAATTCATTGTAGCTACTGTATTTTTTTTATTTTAATGTTTTTGTGAATTTTATAAAGATAAAATGCAACAATTTTCTTCGTGGCTTGAAAGCAACAATTTTGACAGAATCAATATTCCTGGACCAACTGATGTTTGCCAACATATTTGTGAAAAAAACAAAACAAAAAAACAACTGATACAAAATATAGTTTGTAAATTCATTATACATACGAGCACAAGTTCACGGGATACTTCTGTTTATAAATATATGTAATATTTTAAGAATTCATATATTTTAATCTGATATAAAAGTAAAAAGTCAGCTCAGTACACATAATCTCAGAGACATAATTCAGTGGTGGCGGGAACAGTAATTATAATTTAGTTGAAAAAAGATGGTGAAACGTCAAGACGTACGTGCATTCGAAGTTGAATCAATAAGTTTGTAGCCTGACACATTAATTATCTGAATTTTGATCTGAAGTTTCACCGCACAATTTTCAAGCTACATGATTTATGGTAGAGCGATAGATTATATGCATTCATATAGAAGGGAGATTATAGTGAAAATGGCGATTTCTTATGTAAGATAAATGTTTTTAATCTCTAGTCAATGGATTTATCGATATATTATATAGTAATCGCATTTGTATCAACAAGTATATATCTTGAATTATGTTCAGTACTTTCCAAAGTAACACCGTATATATTTGACTATAGCGTGAATTTTTATGAGAAATTTTACGCAAAAATAGGAGTCGCACTATACACAGGTAATTTTTTAAAAGTAAGAAATAATGCATTTTCGGCGTATAAGAGTACTTTTTACTTAGAATGACTTGAATTATGATAAACCGAAGTATGTACCTCAACTCGTGACACACCCTGTATTATGTAACAGTAATACCGACAACAAGGTTGTCATTGGAAAGACAATACCACAACGATGGTAACGCTTGCGCAACGAAGTTGAATGAACATTTGAAAGAGGAAAAATTAATTAATTCTTCATTTATATAAAGTATTTATTGTTTTTTAAATAGCATACATGGTAGGTGAGGTTTTGCTTTTCATGTAGCGACTAAAGGGAAATAACTTAGACTACGAAGTGGGCAGACCCAGTGTAAAAAATCTACCGTGGTCGGACATGAATGAAAACAAAAGTACGTTATCTAAATCTTCGTATCACATATTTTACGGTAAGTGTTTTTTTTCCACTTCCATTTTGGTGTAGATTTGTCCCCAAAAGAATGAAGAGCATTTATTTACTATAAAATATGTCCGGGATGATGCCCAGTACTGCAATAATTGACTACAATAGACCTATTAGTACCGTTCAAAATCTAGGGTCACATTATACATATGCTATATGAAAAAAATCAGGGCTATCACACTACAATAAAGTAAGCTTATACACTGTAACCTTTAGTAAACTTTGTCTTTTTGCTATATTTCTCTGTCATGCTAACCATTACACAAACCATTTAGGTAGGTTATACACTACTTTACCTTCAGTATGCCTTGTGAGTGTTGAATTCTCCAAGACCTATTTCCTTAGTATGTGCCCCTAGAAATTTCAACTAACTCTTTCTGATACTAAGTATCTTTCAAACTTTGTCATCACTCACATGTTCAGTCCATTGTATTTTCAACATCCTTCTGTACAACCACATTTCTGTTGCTTTAAGACTCTTCTCCTCTATCTCTGTAGAGACTGTTCCGGATTTATTGCCGTATAAGAGAACCAATATTTGCATAACAGTTTAGCACTCTCATCTTAGGAAATGTAGGAATCCGGCCCAGAGTAAAGGAGCTACTGTAGTCAGGTATGAATGAAAACAAAAGTACAGAATCTAAATCTTTGTATCAGATATTTTATGGTAAGTGCTTTTTCTGAGCATTTTGGGTAACTTTGTAGAAAAAAATGAAGTCTGTTTATTTGCTATAAAATATGTCCAGGATGATGCACAGTACTGCAATATTTAACTACGGTAGGCCTATTGCTCAGAAGTCCGGGTCGCATTATACATGAGCTGTGTGAAAAAATCAGGTCAACACAAATATCCATGGGTTACACTATACATGATTCATCAAAACGGGAAAGTAAGTAACGAAAATAAATTATTTTGAATGGATGATTTAATTCCTAAATCTTGTATTTTCATCAAGCTTATGCCTTTCCAAAGGACCAAATGTTTATTATCGGTCAGTTGAAAACCATGTCAAAATGTGGCTCAGACCGTGATGTAAATGCAGTTACAGAGATGATCCGCCAATCTGGACGTAAGTAAAGCAAAGTCACTTCAATGCGTAATTTCATTCGCACTAGCTCAAAACAACTAACCGAATGCCCCCACTCTCACTTTCTATCTGTCTTTTTTAAACCCAGGAATGAGCGATTTTCTTGCATATAATCTCATCTCTATACCAGATGTTCATCAAGAAAAAGACGATAGGAAAGTGTTTTATGATACCCAAGCGATTGAAAAATGACTGCTTTTTGGTTTGCTCTCCTTTTTTTATAATTCTAAGGAAATCTAAAAAAAAAAAAAAAACTGCTCTAATACTATTTTTGCTCGTAACGACATGTCTATGAC